ATATGATCACTAAGGCTCAAATTAAAATGAATAATATAATACAGATAATTGAGCATATATATTAATTGTTATCTAAAGAGTATGTTAATATTTATATCGATTATAATCATAAAAGTCCAGTAAAATTAATTAGCAAATATGAGTTGGAAAATATAAATAAAAATATAGGCGACCACAACTACATTGCCGTAAAAACAAGCTTAATTTTACGAGGCAGAGAAAAAAAAATTATATTTGGATTTTTTCAATTTGAATTTAATTTATTGAATAAAGTTAGTTAATATTAAAAAAATATTAATTCGATGAAAATTTAGATTTAATTTTGAATATGTTAGTGAATATGAGTTTAAATGGAACTGTTAAAGTTGATATAATACAATAGGGCTTCTTACAGATATGTATGATGAACCTTTAACGGAAGCCAAACACAAATCATAATAATGTTATTGGTTGTCCAAACTACGGAGAATTAAAATTTGACTAATTATTTAAAAAAATAATAAAAAAAAATTGCTGTCTATCAATTCTTTGTATTCCTTTTTTTCACTAATCCTAAATGAAGAAACTATGAATTTTGCACATTGACCATCCGAGAAATAGTTTTTGGTTCTTGCTGAGAAGAGAAAAACGAAAAAACGAGGATCACAAACCAGTTGCCGGAATTCTTGAACTGCACGACGGACACATAGTACCTATCTCGCCTGTTTGGTTGCCAGCTTGGCTTGCATCTTGAAAGAACACGTTTCTGCACCAGATGCACACCGATGTAACATGATTGATATTATTAGCTGCACTTGATGTTAAATCATCTTTTCCGAGCCAAAAGCCAGGATCTAACCCTTGTTTCATGTCCACATTTGATGAGAAAATCTTGGATTCTTCAGGCAAGGAACTTGAACTCTGCTCGCCCATAAAACTATATTGTACAGGATTGAATCCGGCTGGGCTTGACATGTCGGTATGAATATCATAGTTGTTCATGCTAAATAAACCTTCTTTTTCCTGCCACACAGGCATATTGAAGAGGAATAAATATGTCAGAATCGGAAGAAGAAAGAAATTGGGGTTCACCTTCAGAACTTACACACTTAAAAGCAAGATCCACAAAGGGAGGCATGCACAATCACCTAAAAGGAATAATATGGGATTTTATACCAAGCTTTAAGTGTGTTATGGGCATTTCCTTTTAAAAGAGACGGAAGAAAAGAGAGCGTTCGTACCTTAATTACACATATTGCTGCTAGTCTAGCTATACTAGTTGCACAGATATAAAAATTGTGTTTAAACATACGTTTTGGATTCCATAATGTTGGGTTCAACAATAAGCCTACTTCACATGTGAAACAAGTGGGAAAATATAAAAAGCCAATATCTTAGTAACAAGTGTTAAAGATAGTGATTGCAACGACACCCAAAAAAAGGAGAAACACAAGCATTTCGGTTGAAAGACTTGAAGTTCACAGGCAATATGGGAGAAGAATTACAATTTTATTTATCAAAAGTGTCGTATTTGACAATGGACTAAACCTCTATTTACTCATAACCCCAAGAGATTCATAACCCCAAGAGATTCATCATCATCCAAAGAGATTAATAGTTACTCATAACCCCAAGAGATTCATCATCATCCAAAGGAAGTAGACTACGCAAGAATTTCCCATTTCATTTGTGTTGTAATTTGAATTAAAAAATATGTATATAATTATAGGACTAACAAAAGTGTGAAACTTCTTGGGTTATGAGAAGTAGTTGTTAGTAAACCTT